AACCCCAAAACCCCATTTGATTGAATTTATTAAATTCTGACAGTTTGCTGAATAAAGTTATAAAAATTATTAAAAAAGATAAAATATAGTTGTGAAATTAAAAATAGAATATAAGCGAGCAAAGCTAGGCTTTTGCTATGAAATAATATTAATTTTATTTTATAAGTAATGGAGTATTATTCAGATGCAAACAACTATGACTTTTCTCCTCAGTCAAAGTCTAATACGAACTAAACCCAGTTCGATAGTAAATACAAAAATAATGGCTCCAATAAATCCTTTGACATCATTAATTGATAATCAGATGATTTCTCTGGATGGGACCGTACGTAGCAAAATTTTTACAAAGACAATGCTGAAGATGGAAACATTTCATCTAAGAAGTAATTAAAAAATGAGAAAGATAAGCAGGTAAGGAAGATAAAAAGAATACTGCTTCGTTGAGACAGAAGGATGGAAACTCATGACTAAAGTAACGACTCTATGATTTCACATCTGATAGAGGCTACATTTGCCAAGCCTGTTGTTGAAGTAATAAAGAGAAGTGAACAAGCACCTATTGTGGCGAAAGCAGAAGTTAAGCAAACACCAAGAAGGAACAGATTTGAAGAGGATACAGTGTATCACTACTCTTTCAAAAAGTTTGTACCTATATTCTTTGAGAGAAAGAAATCGAAGTATATAACTATTAAAGATGAGAAGGCAAAGTAAGCTGAGAAATCTATCCAAGCAAATGATAATGATGACTAAGAAAATGAAGATATTAATCCTAAGAATGAGGATTTAGAGACAATCGTAAATGAACAAGAAAACGACTATGACTATGATAATAATTTTGAGTCGTAAAAGTATCTTCAATCTACGAATGTCAAGTTCAGAGTAATTAGCCCGGACAGAGAGTAAACTGTCAACACAGTCTCTGATTACATCTCTTAAGAAAGATATCTCAACTTTAATACTGAGAGATCAATTGAAAATGGCATGATTAATATAAAGAGTTTTGACAAGGATACTCTTAAAGTTAACCCCTATAAGAATAGTAAACGAAGGCGAATTCAGTTACCAATGGCTTCAAATGAAAAAAGCTATAAATACTTGCAGAAGAGTGTAGATCAAAACTAGTTTAACAATAGCACATATTACAGCAATATCAATAAGTTTATAAATCCAAGCATGGGAGGTAGTAATATCTAGAATACTACAACCCTCAGTGGAAATAGCAATAATTACAGCAATAACCCAAACATAGTAAATACCACTCTGAATAGCTTAAATTATCAGAATAGCTCTAATTAAAGCTAGACTTAATCTACTATTTTGGAATCACTACCTAAAACTAAGTTCAGGAAGTACGAAAGGCACTCATTGACCAAGAAGAATAGCACAACTGGTAGAGATGAGTTAAAGAAGTAACTAGATGAATCTAGACTTTAATAGCAATCTTCAGATATCTATGATAAGCTTTTAAATAAACTTAGAAAAACTGAAAGAACATCTATGGTGATAGACTCTTAGATTTAAGCTCCTTCAATATCAAACACTAACTAGCTACTAACCCTTAATTTAGTAAACACTCAATATGCTAAGATCAAAAGACCATCTTATAAAACTAACTCAATAAAATCAGAGTAGTCTTAGACTAGTTCTTACACATAGGTAGCCCAGAGTGTATAATTCCCTTAGATAAAAGATTCAAATCGTTTGCTTAGTCATAAAAACAATGTCTACCTGAAGGCATAGAGTACCAAGTAGGATTATGAGATTCTTCATAATCACCTCTTACAAGATAGACTGAGAATACACAAATAGCTCTAGCAATAAAGTGAATATTCATAGGGAAATCTAAAATAAAAAAAATTAGTAAGCAAAAGGAAGTTCATGATTAATGCTGGCTATCTGGACTCGGCTGGAAAGAACAACTAAATATACATATGAGAGTGAATAACTTTGGTTCTAGTTATGATGATTTGATATATGTAAAGCTATAGTAAAACTATTTATTACCCCAAATGTTACTAGGATGATACTTAGTTTGAGGTCATCTGTGAGGGGAATATAGTTGTAAATAAAATTTGATATTTGTAATTCTAACTTCACTACCCACTTCATAAATTAAGTATAATTAATAAATTATATAACTATTATTTTAATGGAACATATAGAAAAACTTACTGCTAGATAACTATACAGAGGAATATTGAAAAATGTGAGACATTACCCAAGCAGAAATAGGGAAATGATGAGAGAAGCAATCCTTGAAGATGCTAAGGAGTGGAGATAGATAAATGATGAACTGGAAAAGAAGAAAGCTATCAAGAAAATGAGAATGCTTTACGCTCATTTTCTTCTATATCAATAAAAGATGGAAGAATTGACATCTGATTCTGATGCAATAGATAAACACGTGGGCTTTACTGACTTGAATAGAAAAAAGGATGAAGACTTCGTCTATTTCTGACTCTCTATGAGAAAAGGAGTCAATATGTGTATAGCATTAATTAGTATGTTAATTTCAATGATAAAAATATTCCAAATGTAAATATATATTTTGTTCTGTGGAATTGATCTATATAATTTACATTGCATAGATCGGGGTTTTGGGGTTTTGGGGTTTTGGGG